TGTTCTGCTTCCAAAAAAACAGCCACTGAAAACCATATAGAATAGAAGTTTTGCTCAGACACACTTGGGGTCATCATGCGTGAGCGTTAACTTGACGACAACAGGTGGGAGCTGTGAACATTCCAAGGGCTACTTTCCCTCTATCAGTGGAATACCAAACCCAAACCCAATCCACTGCCATCCCGTCTCTTCCGGGCCATGGTGGTCTTATAGGACAGAGCAGAACTGCCCCGTGGGGTTTCTAAAGGGGGAACAGAAAGTCTCCTCTTCCCCCAGAGGAGCAGCTAGGGGCTTGGAACTGCTGAGTCTGTGGTTAGGAGTCCATCGCCTAACCCACTCCACCCCCAGGGCTCCTTGAATGGAATTCAGCACAGTGTTTTCCCCAAACTGTCCAACCCTCCGAGTGGGATGGGAGTGCAGCGTTTGCCAGATGCTGTGGGGAAAGATGCTGCTTGGTTCCTGGAGCATCGTTGGCGTCTATTCACGCTCTCACGGAGCCTTGGAGCCCGTTTACTTGATAAACGTTGTTGGCGAAACGCTTGCTCTTCTTTATCCAGCAAATTGGAAATTGGCCATGAATTTCAGTTGGCAAATAGTCATGTGAATGATCAATTTGACAAACTTGCAACAAGCGTTTGCCCTTGGGCCGGTTGTGGGGTTTTTGTTGCTTGTTTGTGTGTTTGTTTAAGCTCTCTATGGATCATTCAAGAAATAGATGAAGTCTGTCGCATTCCATCTTCAACGTACACGGTCCTCCAGATCAATTTTAGTTTTAAAATATATTTATGTAAGTACTATGTTCACACTGAAAGAAATGGAAAGTGTAGAAAAAGTACCCTTTGTTCCTCACCCTCCACTCACAATTCTAACATAATCACTGGAGCATTTCAGTATTTTAAAAGCCATTCTGGTTAATCTGCTGTGTTTATTTATGGATAAGATATGTGTGTGTAATCTTGTATTCTCCTTTTTTATTTAACAATATATTGTTAATATTTTCCACTGTGAATAATTTCACGGTACTCCACTAAGTACAGGTGGCTGTACTATTTTCATTCACCTACATAGTGTTGATTCTTTCGTTTTGTGCACAAAGTTGCCCCTTATTCACAATGGTCTTAGACTACATTTCCAAGTCATCGGGCCAAGAATAGAGCAAACTTAAAAGCAGACAATAATTTTTAAGTGTGAGTAAGGCAATCCTTATTAGTTTGGACCAATTTTCTTTAAAGTGCTGTCACTCATGCCCCATGCATTTTGGCACTAATTGCTGAATTATTCAACCCAACAAAATTCCCATTCTTAGATCTATACATCTCCCTTCATAAATCCTTAATGTACTTATGAAATTTATTATGAATACAATGTATTAAAAAAAACTCACTGTTCTCAGGTCGATGCCAAGTAATAGGTGCCCCTCTGAGTTTCTGAAACTGTAACTGTTAACTGGGGTAGAAAGCCTCGCCCTTGTCCCAAGAAGCAACTGGTGGTTTTGAACTGCTGACCTTGTGGATAACAGTCCAACTGGTAGTCACTATGCCACTAAGGCTTCTATAAACTTCTACAGTATATATAAATGTATGCAGTGCTTACAACATATGTTCATCCAACTCTCACTACCAAACTCGTGGGAACCCCATGTATGACAGAGTAGAGGATATAGTGCTATGTCAGTTTAGAAAATAAATTATTATTAAATTCTATATCATTTAAAGATTCATTTAAAAACTGAAATCCACTAAGTTGATACTATTTGTTAATGGTGAATGCTCTTGAAATTAAATTCAATTAAATAAGAAATCATAATCCAAATCTTTGTGCTAGTATGTGATGGACCACCAGGAAATGGAAGTTTCTTTAGCTTTATTATTTATTCACAGATTATTTCTTGTTTTGTTTTAGTTTTTTAGTGGTCCAAGAACGGAAAGTATAAACATTCATTCAACCAAATGTTTCTTCCATTCCTATTCCCCTTCCACCTAGTTCCTTCCAACACCTGCTCTCAATAGGTAAACACTGTTAGGGTAGTGGCCTTTCAGACTTCCTTTACCCAACACAAGTAATGGCCAAGAATTTTTCACTCCCCTTTACACATGTTATATATATTCTACATCTTGCTTATTGTTATTATTATCAATATGTATTGGAGATCCTTCCATGTTGACACACAGAAAGATCCTTATCCTTTCTCACGGTTTCATAATATTCCATTGCATGAATGTGCTGTAATTTTTAAACTAATTTCCTATTGATTGACCTTCAGGTTGTTTGCAATGAAACATGTTTCTATTCAAATATGCCACAATGAATATCTTGTATATGTCATTTTGCATTTATTCCAGTATCATGATAGTATCCACAAATATAAGCTGCTGAATGAAAAGACATATGTATTCGTAATTCTGATGTTTAATGGCCAAAGCTCTCAATAGTGACTGAATCGTTTTATATTCCCACTGTAATAAAATGTTACAGTTTTGATTTACTAGGGCAACCTCCCTCATTGTTTTTCTCTACTGTTTCAGAAACATGCCAAAAGTACAACTTAGCTTGGGTACAATCTACATCTTTATGATGTTGAATATTCCTATCAATAAATTCCTATCTTTTCACTTATACAAGACTTCTTTTATATCCAGCAAGGAAGCTTTTAAGTGTTAATTCATATAGCCTTTCAAAATTCATGTTAAATTTATTTATAGGCATTTTCTATTTTATCACTATTAAATATTATCATATAATTTTTCCTTTATATTGTGTGGGGGAAGGTCAGATGCACAGGCATTCCCTCCCTGAGGGCAATCAGTTGCCAAACTGCAGTGGGCCCTGCTCCCTGCCTCTGGGGACAATGGACAGGCTCCTGTAGGCGGAGTTTTCACCCTACTGATAATGGTTCCTATAGAGACTCAGAGACCACCCCCTAGACCACCCCGTCATTACTGTGTTACCTATAGTGTAACCCCTTCCTGTGATGTATGCCTCTACCTGTAATTAGTGGGCTGGTATGCCCCCAAAAGGTATATAGGCGTGGGTCAGCAATATAGAGCTCTCTGACTCTCTCTGACCTCTCTCTCTGATCGCTCCCCTCTCTTCTTCCCCCTCTCCCTTGTTCCCTTGCCCTCCTTCCCTTCCCCCTCTCTCCACGTGGACCGCCAAGCTGGGCTGAGGTGAGCAATGCTACCATGTAGTGTGTCTGACTGCATTATTGTAATATCTCTCATGCTCTCGATGACTTTAATATAATACTTATATATCTCAACCGTGCAATTGTGCATTACTGAACCTGTGGGTAGCAGTAGTAGTAGTAGCAGTGGTGGGGCCTGGCCCCACACCCCCCATCGCCATTTAATTTAATACTACAATATTGTGTAATTTGTCTATCCCAAAGTTGTTGATTTCCATCTACCTTACTTAACTCTCTTATTATTGGTTTTCCATTGATCATCTTTGGTTCTCCAAGTTTCAACTACAACTAGTGATGGCTTTTCCGTCTTTCCGATTGTTTTAGCTCTGATTTTTGTCTTTTATCTAATTGCAAAAGAAGTTGCCATAAAACTCTGTGGCATAAGACAACGTACACATTGTTTGGTGACTCAGGAATCCAAGGGTAGTTTAGCTGAGCCCTCTACTCCTAGTTTCTTGTGAGGCTACAATCACAGGATTAGACAAGCTGGCCTGGGTTAGCATCGGAAAGTTCGACGCTTTTAGATGAGATGGGAAGGATCTAATTCTAAGCTCTCTTACAATGGCACTGATTCCGTAACTCAAGGAACATCATACTTGTTACCTTCCTACCTGGGATTCCACAACATGACAACAAGTTGCACAAAGCCAGAGAGAGAGAGGACTCTTTAACAAGACAGAAGTCACAATCTTTTATAACCTAGTCGCAGACATGACATCCTATCACCTTTGCCATAATCCATTGGCTAGAAGTAACTCAATAGGCCAGTCCCTACTCAAGAGGAGGGAATTATATAGGATGCAGATTCAGAGGAGTGGGTTCATGGTGACCATTTAGGGACTGCCTGTCACAGTTCCTAACTATAGTACAATCAAGGTATGATGCCATGTATCAATGTTGTATTGAGAAAGTTAGTGCCTCTGACACATTTTGTTTATAACGTATGATTTTCACAGATGTATGATAATGATAAATAAAAAGTTGTATAGCGTTACATATATTTCATTAGGAAATATCACAAGGGAAGTAAAATGGAAATATCAATCCAAAAACAAAAAGGGATGGTACAAATTTCCCAGCTTGTCCATGTATTTTTAAAGGAATGATTAAACTACTGTCTTTAATAAATTATTAAAATATTCATAATAACCTTAAATTCTTAAGAGATGGATATGAGTTTCCTTTAAATTATCAATATTATCAAAGGTTAGTGAGGAAGAGAGGGGAGGGGAGGGAGGGGAATGATGAGGGCAACAAATGTACAAATGTGCTGGACACAACGGGTGTATGTATGGATTGTGCTAAGAGTTGTACGAGCCCCCAATAAAATGAGTTAAAAAAAATAAATAAATTTCTTTGAGAAATCAGGGGGAAAAAACTATAGAGACAGTGACTGCATCAATGGTTTCTTGGGGCGGGTGTGGGGGTAGTATATAACAAGGGGGGGCGGGTCGAGGGGAAACGGGAAGCTAATAGCAATGAGTACAAGAAAGAAGAAAATCGATATTCTAAAATTGATGGTGCTGACGACTGCACAACTCTTCTTAATGTGATTGAGCCATTGAATTGTCTGATGTGTGGATGATATGCCAATAAAACAGTTGGGAAAAAAGAAATGAAATATGTGAACGGGTATATCCTTTTCAAAATTAGCTTAGGTTTGTCCGTGAAAGACTGGCGACGAGTGCTGCAGGAAGAAAGGGGACACTGGCTCCACGGCGTGATGATCCTGTCGGTGCTTTGGTCAATGCCATGTTCACACTACTAGAGCACTACCAGCCTCCATCTGGAAGAACACCAATGAAACTCAGAGACATAGATACCGCTTATATTTAATAAAAGATAATAACAGAGTGAAGAGTATAGACAAACACCATTTCTCACAAATCCTCTGTCAAATTTCCCTACTTAAGCTCCCCACTTTGAATTTATCTCATTTTCCCTCTGTATTTTTTGCCTTTCACTAATGCAGTGGTATATTTATGGGAAAGAATTTTTAGTAGTAAACTCTAGTTTCACAGAGGCATGTGAGTGCATGTAGGGGTGCAGTGGAGCTGGCCTGAATGTAGGGGTGCAGTGGAGCTGCCCTGTCCAGCTCACAAGTCGATAGTGCACCTCTTTTCCCAGTTCTGCAGTGAAATTAATCATCGCTTGAAATTAGTCATAGTGGAAGTATTTACACCATGGAGATCAGTAAGTACTACAAATCAGAACTTTCCACTCAGAGAGCCAGTGGTTAAATATGAATCAGCACAAATCTGAGGATGCTACTCAGTGCTCCCAAAACCAGTCCAAATATCACAACATAAAATCAATCGACCTCCAGAATTATTAGCATAACATGCAGGGCATTCTGGTTGAAAATCCCCACTGAAGAATTTTCCATAAAACCGCTTTTAAAACTTTATATCCTTTCCCCAATGTTTACTGTGTAGTGCTCCCCAGATTTAAAAGGCAAAAAATACTTATTATAATTAGGCAGATTTAGCGTATGTTATAATAGCCAAGTACGTTACATTTTATTATTCATCAGTTTCAGGTAGTTTTCAGATACATTTTATTCTTCTCCAGAAGGTTTGTTTCCACAATAGACAAACATAGAGAATTCCAGCATTTCTGGTTACCAGAGTTTCTGGGCTATGATCCAATTTGGGGGATGAAGGAATGCATCCTTTGCTTCCCTGCTCCTCAGTCTTGTATTCTATAATAATTCGGTGCCTTCTGGGTGGCATGGAGCACAGAGCCCAACAAGTATAGTTTTGTCAAAATCTGAAAAGGCTCAAAGGGATGTTACGTGTCTCTTTTGGATCTGTGTAGGACTGGACCAGTAATTTGTTCTCACTAGCCGGTCAGCTGTCATGATGCCCCATGCCCACACCCCTGTTATTTCCAGAAAGGTGGTGGTCTCAGAGATCTCCTTGTTGAAGCTGCCATAGTAGAGGCTCATATTTTATTGTTGTTTTAGCACCTGAAAGTACAGAGCCTTGACCTCTCCAAGTGAGGAAGCCAGGACACTGTGGCCTTGCGCTCTAACTGCTAAGGGGCTGGTGTGGTATCTGAAGCATTGCTCACCTGAGTTGACCACTCTTTATCCTAACTCGATGGCATTTCCTTTCCCTTCAGCCCATACCTAGAACTGAACTTGCTCTGACATTGCCTCCATATTTCTATTTGCATCTGAAACGTGGCTATGTCTGGCTGTGCTAACTTCAAGCCCTACTGGGCCTTTGAGCATCTAGCTGTGTTTGGCCACACCAGGTACGAGCACAGAACGACTCTGATCTCCTCTTCTTCCTATACTCTGAGTTCCCCCCTGCTTAACTCTCCGTCTTACATTGCTCCACGCTCTACAACATCCTGTGATCTTCTGCGGTGTTTTCCTACTTGTTAGTAAAGGAAGATTTGGTGAGAGGTGTGTCTATTCCAACTCATCCCCTTTTCCCAACATGTCAGAAACCACAGCCACCAGCTAAGATCCAAAACTTACTCAAATCTAATATGTTTGTTTCCTTAGGATGGTTATCAAGGAGAGACGGCAGACGTATCACCAGACTCTCCACACGAAACTGTGACTGACCAGTATTGTCTGCCATTTAAATAGAGGCTTTGTAAGGTTATTTAAGTCAAGAGTTATTTCAAGTCTCTTTTTATTTCCTAAAGGATAAATAGTTGTGGCTGTCCTTTTAGATGGTTGTTAACTTTGGTTCTTTTGTCTTGTAGCGCATGAGATTTCACAGGCTCTGCTTCTTGGGAAATAGGTCATGTTTGCATGAGTTGTTAACTGTTATGTTTAGAGTTTTATATGGTATTTGTTATCCTCTATTTTTTTTCTTTTAGGGAACTCTAGTAATACTGTTGCCTAAGCACTGGACTCTTCACCACAAGTCAACAGTTCAAGACCACCGATAGCTCCACAAGAGAAAAATGAGGCTATTTGCTCCTGTCAAGATCCATAGCCTCAGAAACGCTCTACAAGGGAACTGTGAGAAAGGATTGACTCTGTGGCAGTAGATTTTGCCTTCTTTTGTTTGGTCCTTTGTATTTCGCATGATTCCCCCAATTTATCTGCCTAATGTGGGTACCTCAGGTTTATTCAGTTTAACTACTGCTTAGGATATTATGAATATACCAGAATTGATCCACTCATTCTCTTCTTGCTGACTTCTAGCTTATTATTTTTTTCCTCTGTGTATTTGGCTGGTGGTGGTGGTGGTGGTGGTGATGGTGATGGTGGTGGTGGTGGTGGTGGTGGTGGTGGTGGTGGTGATGTTTTCCCCAAGGACAAACAGCTCTTTACTTATACGTTTTATGTGCATCTATTTTTTTCTATTAATGCAAATTTTATCTGGCATGGGTATCTAAAAGCATAATTGCTTGGTCATAGGTCATGAAAGTAGCCTGCCTTACTAGTATCCCAGGATTATGTTTCAAAGGTGATGTTACAATTTACAAACTCCCCTGAGTAACTTATGAGACTTTATCTTCACATCCTTCCATTTTTCATTTTCTCGATTGTGTTGATGGTGCAGCAATATTTTTTATTTTGCATATCCCTGAAGAAAAATATGTATATCTTCAGATTGAAGAAACCTGAGCAAAAGAAATAAAAAAATAAGTGACATCATAATGAGATTGCCGAGCACCAAAGCCCAAGAGAAAAGTCTTAACCGCAACCAAAGGGCAATACAAGTTCTTACAGTGGAGGACATGTGGACCAACAGAAGATTTTCCATTGGTAATTATAAAGGTCAGCAGGCAATGACATGACACCATTAAACTGCCGGGAGGGAAAAAACTGTCAAGCTAGAATTCTATATGCAAGTGCTCCTCTCACAAGCATCCTCCTCATGATCATATCTGCACACTCCCCATTAACACTCTCCCCTGGCCACCCCCACCTTCTTCCACAAATAAATGCTGATCCTTTATGGCAAGGGCAAGTGGTTGGACAAATCTTAGAACAGCACACTCTTTAGTCACGTGACTAGTCTGCTAGGTGAATATATAATCAGAGAAAGATTTCACAGAGTTCCAAGGTGAACTCAATCCTGCCTTCTCCATACTTCAGGGTTGCAAACCCTTTGTCATGTCCCTTGCAGCTGAAAGCCCGGGAGGATGTTTTTTTGTTTTTTAAATTAAAAAGGAAAAGGAGAGTGAGAAGAAGTTCTGTTGCGAATTCATTTTCTAAATGACTAGCGTGGTAGATGCTAAGTGGGGTGTATAAACTGGAGAAATGTAGCCTGAGTAGTGCTAAAGCTAGGAGAAAGTAAAAAGCAATAAGAGATAAAAATAATTGCCCATTGGTAGATGAACCTGGGGAGACTCTGCCCTCTTTAACTCTGGGCCTGGGAAATGGAAGAGAAACCATACGGATCAGATGGTGTCGCACACCTTTGAGGAGTGTTCCCTTCAAACTAAAGACAATACAGTCTATATAATCACAGGATTTTGTCATTGTAAAGCTTCTTAGAAAGCTCATCTGTTTTATTAATTAGCGTGGCCAGCCCAAACAACTTACCCTGTGGTCATTTCTTTTATATTTTTAATAAAGCAAAGACCACAGGATAAGTTGTGTAAGCTGTAAAGAACTAACTAACATAACTGATTAGCAAGAGATTTAAGACTCAAATCTGGGTTTCTTACCCACACATCACTTCTCCTCCCCTCCATCACAATTCATCCGCATCGAGTGAACTGTGATTTTGGAGTAAATGTCCTAACGTGCTGGATGCACTGCAGTCCATGTTTTCTAAATGCTCCCAGAGTCCATCTGTTCTCTTCCCTCTTTTTCCAAGTGTAAGGCTGATGCCATAAAATCCTGTCATTACCGAGATGCCTGCGCGGAGCAGCCAATGCACAGAGAGGACCATCAGGCTGGCCCCACCACAAGACACCGTATCCTTCACTGATCCATAGTGCTGTGGGGGGACAACCCTGGAGACATGAAGGAATTGTGCCCAATCTGACCCACCACACCGGGATGTAACCCGAAGGACATGCAACAGAGCAGCAAGGGGAACAAAGCAATGAAGTCCCAAGGAATCCCAAAAATAGACTTCAGGGGCAGGATGTGACAGCTCATCAGACTCGACTGGAAAACACTCATAAGAGTCAACAGACAGACCTGGAACTATTTATAGACTGATCTTTTCGCTGTTGTTTTATGTTTTGTTTTTGTTTTTCATATTTATCTAGATAAGATAGGCAGGATAAACAATCCCGAGGAGAAAACCACGGGACTGACAGTTCCAGGACATGGGAGAGAGAGGGAGGCAGGGGGAAAGGAAGGGGGAGACAAAAAATCCAGGTACAAGGGAACAACAAGAGATCTAAAATCAATGGTGAGGAAGGAGTAGGATGCCTGGTGAGGCTTGATCAAGTGCAATGTAGCCATGAGGAATTACTGGGAGCCAAATGAAGGTCAAACATGATAGTGGGACAGGAGGAAAGTAAAAGGAAATAGAGGAAAGAACTAGGAGGCAAAGGACATTTATAGAGGTATAAATACGGGCATGTACATATGCAAATATATTTATATATAACGATAAGGACATAGTTCTATGTACATAGATCATATGTTAAATAATAAGCTAGCAGACAGACATTAGGTCTCAACTCAATTATTCCCTCAATGCAAAAATATTTTGTTCTAATAACCTGGCATTCTGTGATACTCACCTTCCCAACACGATCACTGAAGACAAAATGGGTGCATAAGCAAATGTGGTGAAGAAAGCTGATGGTGCCCGACTATCAAAAGTAGTGCCTGGGGTCTTAAAGGCTTGAAGATAAATAAGCAGTCATATAGCTGGGAAATAACAAAGCTCACATGAAAGAAGCACACCAGCCTGTGTGATCATGAGGTGTTGATGGGATCAAGTACCAGGCTTCAGAAGACCCAAAACAAGAAATCATGGCAATGCAAATGAGGTGGGGGTGGGTGGAGTGGAGACCCAAAGCCCATCTGCAGACAATTGGACATCCCCTCACAGAAGGGTCACAATGAAGAGCCAAGCCAACCAGGGTACAGTATAGCACCGACAAAATATACAACTTTCCTCTAGTTCTTTAATGTTTCATTCCCCTCCCCACCCACACACCCCACACTATTATGACCCCGATTCTACCTTACAAATTCAGCTAGACTGGAGCATGTACACTGGTACAGATAAGAACTCTCAACGCAGGGAATCCAGGACAGTTAAACCCCTCAGGCACAATAATGGGGGTAGCAATACCATGAGGGTAGGGGAAAGGCAGCTGGGAGAAAGGGGGAACTGATCACAATGATCGAATATAACCACAACCCACCAAGGGGGACGAACAACAGAAACATGGGTAAAAGGAGACAGTGGTCAGTGTATGATATGAAAATAATAATAATTTATAAATTATCAAGGGTTCATTATGAGGGAGTTATGAGGGAGGGAGTGTGGGAGAGGGAGGGGGGAAATGAGGAGCTGATACCAAGGGCTCAAGTAGAATGAAAATGTTTGGGGGGAAAAAATGATGGCAACATATGTACAAATGTGCTTGATCCAATGGATGTATGGGTTGTTATAAGAGCTGTAAGAGCCCCCAGTAAAATAATTTTTTTTAATCCTGTCATTACAGGGGAAGACCCCACCCACTGGGCTTCAAAGCTAGTGCACCCTCTATACCACTATAATAGCCCCATGGGTGGGCAAAGGGGACTCGGAGCAGTTGATGGACTAATGGGGTGCCAGCAAATGGAAACCAGCGGTTCTGCTCCTAGCCTAAGCCCTCTCAGCAGGTACCTTCAGGACCTCAATGCAATCCACAGAGGGAAATCCAACCCCAAAGAAAAGAAACCTTCAAGAAGCACCGAGAAATATCTCACAATCCGCATAATAAAACCGTCAGATTTTGCCATCATGTCTTCCATGTCCTGTTCTTCCCCCTCAGAAGCCTTACCCCTTGAAGGGTTCTCTCTCCTACCGTCACCACCACCCTCACTCACCTCAACATCTCCATGAGCAGATGGTAAAACCCCCTTCCTTGTCCAGAGACGTCTGGCTCTCCTCAGAACTGGTCCAGCCCCTTACCAAGGCAAGAGTGCTCATGTTCCTGCAGGGACAGTCCTTCAGTACAGTATGCGTGTAGTGCACCCTTCTCTCGGTCACATTATCAGTCCAAGTCGTGTCGATATTAATAAATGGACCGGTGGGCGATGTGATCTCAGTAATCGGGTATCTGAATTTCTGTATTTGTGGGTAGGAGGGCGTGGGGCGGGGGCAGATACAAGACAATAGGAATCCGGGGACCTATAGTTGATAGGACAGTATGGGCCTACCTTAGAAACTTAAACGTATTCCCCCACTGGGATCCTTCTCTTTTCTTTCTTTCTTTTTTTTTAATTAAAAGATCATTTTAGGGGGTGGGTTCTTACAGCTCTTATCACAATCCATACGCCAATTATATCAAGCATATTTGTACATATGTTGCCATCATTATTTTCCACGCATTTACTTTTTAATTGAGACCTTGGTTAAATGTCTGTATTAATCAAAACAAGGGAGTGGGCCCCATTATAATATTCTCTCTAAAATATATGTGTCCATGTAGGTGCACTAAACCTTTTAAACTCAAAGCTTGTATCTCCTCTGAGGACACAATCGTCCTGTGGAAAACCTGAGAAGGCATCGCTATTCTGTTTCACAACTCAAGGGACGATGGGTTCAACATCACAGCTAGTGAGCCAAACCAGAGCCCAGCTCGGTTTTGGTTACTGTAAATTCATTATCTTTACCTGGATTCAGGTTTCTTTCCTTCCTTTTTGTCCCTGAAACTCTTTTGATCTACTTTCTAAAGGCTAAAAATTGAAAAACATGTTAATTTATGCTATTTGCTCTTATGTGAAGGTACTTAAATTTAAGGAACTGCCCAAAATTTAGATAGCAAAATAAGAAAGAACCTAAAAATTAATTTATGTTTATTCATTTTTTTCATCAAAATCTGCATTAACTCAAATTATTCTAAGAGACTGATATATTAAGTTAAAGCCTTACCTCATAAATATTGTAAGCAAAACCTAAACACGTAGAAATATTGTTCAATACAAAGAAAAAATATGATTGTACCATTCAAGAAAGTCCAGTGGATTATTGTTTGTGGATTAATTATTAGCTTAAGTAAGACCAAGATATGTAAGACTTGGATCATGAGAGTTAATCTGTTGAATAGTTATAAGGATATCACCTACTTTCGACACTCTTACTAATGAAAGAAGAGAACCGCCATCCACCCAAATTGGTGACGGTTAACACGTTGGACTCTCAACCCATTTCTTCCTCTCAAAGGAGGGAACAGAAGTGGATGATACGGCCTTAGGTGTGCACAGAGTCCCAGGCTATAGCCCTTCAAGTCAAACACTCTATTCCCCACCAAGACCAGAGCACAGGAAGCAGTCACTTTTGGTCTAAATCACAGACATAGTCTCTGTACAACTGACTGAGCTAGAGGACAGGAGCAATCTGAACGTTTGGGGAAAAGGGGTTGGCAACTTGCTACAAGACATACAATGGGACTTGTTATGTAAACGTGGGTGCTGTGCACAACTGGAGGGAGAG